GGGGGGGTTAAACCAATATAAATGTATGAAATAAACTATTCCACGCTTTAATTATCTTGTTTTCTTCTTAAAATGCATGTAGAACATTTTATTTATCATAGCTGCATTTAATATAACTCACATGGAAGCTTGTCTCATTCAGGAATCTTCATACAGAACCTGCAACAATCTTGGGATCCACAGTCAGGTCGCTTTGAGTCCAATCCATGTTTTCCTACATGACGACCTACATACCATTAGCCTCGAGTCCAATTTATATCATCTAGTTTAACTAAATCAGAACATTTTAACACCTCAAATCAAACCTTCGTAAGCATAATGCACAAAAATAGAATTACGACATGCACAGTAGAACACATGTCATGCATTGTATTTCCATGGTAACTATGTAAACAAATGCCATCAACACGGAAGCAAAAAAGAAAAAAGGAGAGAGAGAGAGAGAGAAAGGAAAAGAGAAGGGGAAAGAGAGAAAAATTGGCCCCTAAATCGGAAAAAAACCCCATCTTTTTTTGGAGCTGCGCGAAGACCTTTTGAACTCTACAGAGAAACGAGCCCGACAATATATCTAAATCAAAAGACGAATTTTTGAGTTTTATTTATTTTCTTGCATTTTCCTTCTTCTTCTTTCTTTCTTTTCTTTTGAAAGCCAAATTATATGGAAACATGTTTCTCAAAACTATTCAATTCCGATAACTATGTTGTACAATTTTTTTTTATTCCTTAATAGGTAGTTTACTGCACACATCTTCATCGGAATTCGTGGCGTAGTAGTTAGCGCGCCTGCCTTTCAAGCTAAGGGTTCCGAGTTCGATCCCTGCTGGAAGAATTTTTTTTTTTTCATTTTTTGCAGTTTTCTCCCTTTTTTACAGCCCGAATTACATGGAAACACTTAAAAAGGTGGAAAGACCTCTAATTGTTCTGTGAACAATTAGTCTACTAGTTATATAATTAGGTTGTTCATGCATGGTTCTTAATCATTAAAAAAAACAAAAAAAAATATGACTTCATTTTGATTTAGATTTCATGGATTTATGTCAAGAGTGTGATTTTTTATTTGAATGAAAAATTATTAATCATATCTCATAAAAGTTATTTCAAAAGAATAAAAAATACTTTATTTAAGGCAGAATTTATGACAGTGTTTTGTTTCTTGGAAGCAACTTTCATCAATTTTCATTTTATTAAGTAAAAACCATTTAGTTGGATGATTTTTTTAAAATTATTTTTGAATATACAGGTATTTATCTGCACTTATTATTATAATTATATTAAGATATCATTCAGCATACAAATTAAAATACAAAAATTAAAAATCACTATAAGTGCATTTGTTTTTAAAGACCCCTATATGCTTCACACTAAAGAATTCATATTCCATGGTACCATCATACAGGAAGAGTGATCTGTCGTCAGATCAAACTTAAATCGAAATCTACATCATATTACTCTATATGAGCTCAAGCATTTTTAACAATTTATTAAGCGAAGAATATTTGCATGTATTTTCCATCGTTTAAATAGGAAACGGTGATTTATGTTCATTAATACTGCACTATCTTTGATTTTTTTATGCCCACATATTGACCTGTAAGATTCGGGGGTATATAGTTTTTGCCCCGTCTGTCTGTTAATTTGTTTGTCCACAAAAACTTTAACCTTGCCTTTAAGTTTTGATTGGTTGGAGCCATAATGACTGTAATATTTCACATGTATTCCTTGTAACAAAACTTTTCTTTTGGTATAAATATATATTTGACATCTTGACCTTGTCCTTAGAGTTTGACCCCCTTTTGCAAAAAATTATAAACAGGACACCTTAACAGGGATGGGCAGAGCATAGGGAGTTACGGTATAAAATTTCATTGCAAAGGCCCAAAAGCTTCTTGGAATATTGCTCAGAAATGAAATTTTTACACACAATCAGAATGTATGACCTTGACCTTTGAACCTCAAAATCAATAGAGTTCTTCCTTAGGCCATAGGGAGTTGTGGGATAAAATGTCAATGCAAAATCTCAAAGACTTCTTGAGATATTGCACAGAAACAAAATACCTTGACCTTTTGACCTCAAAATCAATAAGGGTCTTCCTTGGGCCACAGAGAGTTATTAAGTAAAATTTCATTGCAAAAGCTCAAAGGCTTCTCAAAAGTGTTACAGACAGACAGAAAGACAGACGGACCGATGCACTAGATCATCACTACAATGAGATACATGTACTACATGTACATAATTGGACAAAAAAAAAATGCTTTGATATTTCTCCATTTCTCTTTCTTGAGAATGCATGTAGATATGTATAAAGTTTAAAAGATTTTTTAATTTTTTTAATTGACAGGTATTAGTACATAGTTTTTGTTGGTCAGCTTAACTTTTTCTGAGAACAATTATGAGATTTGATGCTGAGGGAAACAAGAGAACAACATATGTAGTACATGTTTCACATGAGAAATTATACTCCAAACATGTTAAGATTTTGTGTTTTTATTTCATTACAACTTTGTGATAGAATTCAATAGAAAATATGAGAAAACAGCAAATAAGCCATAGCCATAAGTCATTAATGTTCGGGTTGCTTTGACTAATATCAGGAACAAACTTACAAAAGAGTTATTATAGTTAGGAAAAATACATAACTTGACTAAATATAAAATTGTCCCTGTGTATTATATTTATATCATTTAAAAAATCATAAGTCAGGACTTCATGATGTGTTATGTAGCATGATGACAAGCTGAAGAAATTTTTTTTTATTTGATTAGGATATCATTTTGGAAGAAGTATTATTGAACTGCATAAAACTCCAGAACAGTCAATCGAACCGTCTTGGATGTCTTGATTAAATGTTGTAATTTTAGGCACTGAGCAAAAGAGAGAGTTTAATTGTTTTTTATCTAGACTATGTTCATAATGCATGTACCATTTCTAAGCTGCTTTATACATACATATAAATATATGGGTATTTATAATGATGTTCATCAGCTCAGACCAGTTACATGTACTACAATAATCTGTGTCATGGAACAAACCCTCACTGGGTTCATAGCAAATTATCATTATAACTAAGAACATTCTATCTACTCAGAGCTTAATCCAAGAATCTTCTGGATTAAAACAAAATCCCCACTTTTTCATTATGTACATTATCAACACAATCAATCTCGACATGTTCTGGCTAGGATCTGAAAATGGAGGGGTGCAAGAGAAGGGCACTCTTACATGACTTAACGTTGTCTAGAGTTTTTGTGCATCTCTTATAATAATGAACTCCTTCATATATTATTAATTTATTTAACCTTATTGATTTGAAAGATACAGAAACGGTAAACACATACTTATCTATAGAGCTAGTAATTATGATTGTAAACATATAAAACCGAATTTTAAAGATCATCTTAGGATAAATGTTATTTTTCTTTCTCTTTTTCAATGATTTTCTATTCTTGATTCCTATTTTCAATAAAAGCACCATACTATTCATATAAACTAGCTGACGTCTCACATCTCACAATTTGTCAAAATATGAAACTAAGGGTTTGAGCCTGTTGAGAAAGTTTTAAATGAATATATCAGATTACTCAAACATGTCACCCTAGAATGTGTTCATATTTTATTAAATGACATAGTTTTAGTAATTATGCTCACAATGCCATTCTAGTCTCCAACAATGGAGCTTGGTGTTAAGACTGTATCAAGTAGATTGAGTTATGTAAGGAAAATCTCGATCATTCAGTGTGACTGTGTCCCTAGCTTAAAAGTAGGATTTCAGCCTTCAAAGCTCGCGATCGCCTATAAACACGGTGTTTTAAACAAACATACAATGCAAAGTGGAAACACTGGACATATTCATCTCCCCTTACATTGACTTTATCTATTTGCATGATTTGACATGATAAACAACGTGTACCTTACTAAGACGAACCCGAACTGTTCTTGTGATGAAACAGACGTTAAAAAGATGTGGCAGACAAACCACTTATTTGTATCTATGAATATCGAAAAAAGTATTAGATAGAAACAAGAAGTAGTAAAATGTGCCACTTCTCCATTTTTTAATTGATCCCCCATTTCTGTCACCACACGAAACATAAGTTCGCGCATGCGCAATAACGGTTTAAAGAATATTCCGAACATTGAACCCGATGACTATTATGCTTGTGACCCTTGAAAACTAATATTGGCCGTCTGTGCATTAAACAGAAAAATTTTAATTTACACCATACTTATTACTGTTTTATTAATGATAATTTTATTATTCAAAACGATTTTTACAACAAAATCCTAAAAGTATGGATATTAGAAAGATTTTTCAAATAATCACTTTTCAGGGAATTCGGTTTAAAAATGTAAAATTTTCTTGTTAGATGTCCGCTTCCCCACTTAATTTTTATGCCACATAACGGAAAGATCATTGGAAAATAACACGCTAATTTTTTAAAGAAATCTGTCCTCAGAATATCAAACAGCAAATTTTTTAAAGAAATCTGTCCTCAGAATATCAAACAGCAAATTTTTTTAACCAGTAATGAAGTTCATAATTTTGAGCCAAATATGTTTAATTCGCCATAAAAAGTAAAAAAAGTGGATCAGCAGATTAAAAAATTAATAAAACCGTTAAACAAGCGTATCTTCTCTCTAATTCATATGTTTAAGTTTTTCATTTACATTTAATTTTAAAAAGCTAGCATAAATATTTTAATTACTGCATTTCTGTAATTTCACGATGCAGTCTATTTTTAGTAACAGTCCTTCCAAAAGGAGGTCCGGTTGACCTCAAAATTTACACAGATCTGGAAAGGACACACACTTAGTTAAAATTCTGAGAACTTTCACAGAAATCTGTAGCTTCGTTATTTTCATGGCATGGTATGGATCTTTACCTTAAACGATTATGTTTTTGTACAGTGTATATCGTACAAAATCTTCTGGTTGTAAAGACTAATAAGCGATTAATGCGGGTGTATAACAATGCATTTCACGTTCTTGCATTGGTATCTAGGCTGCAGTCAAAATACATATGGACAGAAATGTTTAAAGCAGTGTGGCTCATGTCGGTATGGGAAGATGTGTGATATGGTAACAGGAAGCTGCCCAAATGGATGCGCAGAAGGGTGGTATGGTGAAAAATGTATTGATGGTATGTCTACTTTTTAAATTTTGAATTTAAAATAAAATTCTTTGCCTGTGTAAGTCTACATTAAACGAAATATTTTGTCTACATTGAAGACATAATCCTTATTATGCGAGATTCATATTGTATAAATGTCTTGATGTACAAATTCCTACAATACCTGTAAGACCTACAATCACAAAAGTAGGTATTGGAACACACTCCTTTACTTTATGTCTTACAAAAGTTTGTTAAGAATAAACGGGTACTATTTTTATCAGACACTTAGCTTTGGGAGGGGGGGGGGATACAGGGGCCCTCTTTTGTTGCCACACAGTCAACACTACTTACTGTGTCCCAAAAATTATCCTTCACCGCCTCAATGTCTTTTTTTCTGCAGGACAACTTTTTTCTGCTTGTTAATTTTTTTCTGCCAAATCCCTCTCTGGAAAAATGTCTTGATACGAAAATGAAAGAAAAAATGAGTAAGCTCACATACCCCACGCTCCCCCAAGACTCGACAATGCAACACGTATTGAATGGCACAGTGCATTTTAAATACACAGTATAATTCAAAAAGGGGCATTACTTGCAAAAAATCATCACATCAAAACTTCTTGCATATAAGGACATTCAAATCTTTGTATGTTACAACTTTAATTGGGCTGAAGTTTCTAGATAAATAATGGAATCAAAATTTCTTGGTAATATACAAATCTATACATTATGTCTGAAATACCTACAAAGTTTCAGGAAATTCAGTGCAGGAGTTATGTTGACAAACTGTAATTTAAATTCCTCAGCGATTTCGATTTGTTAATGAGTGTAAGTCCATGTCCAACACATGATAATTTACACATTTAAATAATTCATGGAAACAAAATTATGATGTAGTCATATGAATTTGTTTATATACTGTACTTTTGAAATTATTTAAGGCAAAGCACCAATTTGAGAGGGGGAACTATCCAAGATTGTGTGTGTGTGTGTGTGTGTGTTAAATCAATATTTTGATCTCAAAATCAATAGGGGTCTTTTATGGTCATAAAATATTTCACATAAAATTTCATTACAAAAGCTGATTCCAGAGGATTTCTTTATGACCTAGCTGGAACGTTTTTTCAATAATAGGCAAAACTCTTCAGACAAAAATAATGGAATCGGAATTTCCTGGTAATATGCATATCTACACTCTGTGTACTAATTATCTGCAAAGTTTGACGAAATTCTGTGCAGCGGTTTAAGACGAGATGAACTGACAAACTGTCATATCTATATTCAAGATATGGCCAATAATCTGAGTTGAAAAGTGCAGCAATTCCCAGAAAAAATAAAGGAATCGGAATTTCCTGGTAATATGCACATCTACATATTGTGTCCTATATATCTGCAAAGTTTGACGAAATTGTGAGCAGCGGTTTATGAGGAGTTGCGCTGACAAAAAACAGGACTGACGGACTGACTGACTGACGGACGAGTCAAAAACATTATACCCCCCGCAACTTGTTGCGTGGGGTATAATAACCTGAAAGTATTCACTCGCCGTTTCAAGCTTTGCAGACCTGCTATTAAGTGCATATTGTGAAAACCTTTTTTTAAATAACTTGAATTTGTTAACGGAGAAAAATAAACGTTCAAAATAGTCTCCCGCTATATTTTAACCAGCTGGTGTTTACGTGTATCATTCCACTACAAATTTGACTGCAAAATGAGACTTATCTAACTCTTTGTATCGAACCCATTCAAGAAGGAAAACTTCTTTCTTTCTTGCATTCGGAAAATCATGCGTTGACTGTCCAACATTCGCTATAGATTGTTCTGGGCACATGGAACAGTATTAAATTTTATGAAAATGGATAAACAAGTAAAGATTAGTTTTCGAGTGACAGTTGTGTGCATTTATGTTAACGTTGTAAAAATAACGTGTTACTTTAGGTTAATTCATTTAAGTCGAAGTGAGCTCGTCATCAGTTTGTTATTTTTCAGAATCAAAACTTTAAGGCCTTTGATGAGAAAGCTACGTCTCTAAAGAAAATATAACGCTGTGTGTTTCGGCGTTGATTGGCCAAATTTATTTATTTATAAGAATAAATTCGAAAAGTTTTACTTAGCCATTTATTTTTGGTCTACAGGCAATATTTACAAAAAATGGAATGATTGAATACTTGCTACAAAAATATATGTAAGGAAGAAAGTGAAAAGAAAATAATGGTTAATGCTTACTTCTGAGTGGCATAATTACTAAACTGTTAGATTAGCTTTTTCTTTATTTTTAGCTTGTCCCTCGGGGTACTACGGGTTTTACTGTATGAACACATGTAGTGAAAACTGCGTGAAGCCAGATGACTGTGACCGATCTACCGGGACGTGTACCGGGGGTTGTCTGTCTGGATACAAAGGGGACAGGTGTCACACAGGTATCCACTCACACAACATATGCTAAAAAGAAAAAGCTGTTCGTTATCTCCACATACTTCATTGAAATAAACTTTAAACATAGCTCCATTTGTCCTAAAAGATAATTTAAACACACTAGCTTGCACTATGAACTATTATTTATTCTACAATGCTGCTGAAATTTCAATTTTATATCAGTTTTCAATGTTTATAAATTGCCTGTAACAAATGCTCTTATTTGTAGTTGATGGTCCAGGATTTAGTTCAGAAACTGTGTATGTTCTCATAGCTCTACTCAGTGTTGCGCTTCTTGTCAACGTTATTTGTATTACAACTTTTATTACACGCAAGTGAGTATATTGTAATAAATTATTTGTAAGATGTTATAATATAAATTATATTGAATGATCTTAATTGAGCATTTATTAAGTTGTATTTCATCTGCATTTTCACAAAACTTTGGCGCTGTGCTGCCATATTCTAGCGACAGCTTATGAAATTGTGTCGATCAAAACATTTTGATAAGAAGTAAATTTATCTTTTCAGGTTTTTCTGTAAAAAGGATATCACAATGAGAAGGACTCACCCGAATCCGAAACTGAATATCTACAGTGTGTTTCAGAACGACAGCTTTACTGAAGTGGAAGCTGGGCATGGTTGTTAATATTTAGTTTGGATATTGGTCGTCTTAGACAATAGGAATGTTTAACATTAAACTTTAATGTCGTTTGAATTCTGTGTTTAGTCATGGCAACTACGTGATATGATGAAATGTACCATAATATTGACTTTAAGTTTATATGCAATGTTGATTGCCTTAATAACGCATGCAAATGTGAATTAGATACGACTCTGTAGCGCCCTTTCCAAAACTATCGTCCGATTTGTCCTAAGACAGATCTTGAGAGAAACCTTAGGACCTGACTTCTGGTTATCATAATATTTGTCATTGCTGTTTTATAAAACTACCTTAAGAAGTAAACAAATCTAAAAACTAGTATTAAGATGTACTTCATGTAACAATTATATGAGGAATTGTAGAAAAAAAAAATTATTATTAAAAACAGAGGAAGAAATATTATTGCTCGACGTTGAGTTTCTTTGAATATATACCTATTTATTTTTTATTTTTCTATAAATAATATAAAAATAATAATGAAATTCGATATAATCGTTCGGAAATAAAATTAAAGTGCTCCACTTACACTGTTCAATTTTCTGGTGGGGGATGGGATAGGAGTACACTCAATAATGCTGTCATATATAAATATGAAGAAATCTGAATGCATAACTAATGCTTAAATTATATCTAAAAATATATTTTAATAATTATTGTGGTCGCCCGCGTGGCGCAGTCGTACGTCGTAGAGTCGCGAAGGAAGGAGCTGATCCTTACGTCGCGGGTTCGAATCCCAATGTGGGTCGTGGGGACCGCACCTTCGGATGAGACCGTATTAACCGAGGTCCCCTGTCGCAATAGGTGCTGGTACGAAAAAGACCACTCACTGCTCAATGGCCCTAAGTGCCGAGTATAGGTCAAATTTTGCAGCTCTCCACCAGCAAGTGGTGGCGTCTCCATATGAGTGAAAAATTCTCGAGAGGGACGTTAAACAACAAACAAACAAATAATTATTGTGATTGCCAAGAAACTGAAGTCAATTCTGTTGAACCAAAAATATATCTTGCAAAATTACATTTATCTTGAACCAATACCGCATTTTTGCAAGAAATTAAGGATATTGGACTGCATTCAATTGGGACCACAAGGCGAGTTTGAAATCTGCGCTGAGAAGATAATCAAGTACAAAGATGTCTCCGAAACGGTGCCCACGTTTAAGTTCTGCTGAAATTAACTGTGCTAAAGGACAAAGTGGAGATGGATAAAAAATATTTTTCAGACAAAAAAAAAAGATAACATGGTATAGAATATGGAAAACTCGACCAGTTATCAAGCTCAAAAGTCCATTAAAACAATAGGGTTCGGAAGAAGAGCAAACACGGACATCTTAAAACATGTGATGGAACAAAGTTTGTTTTTGTTTGTTTGTATGTTGTTTAACGTCCCTCTCGAGAATTTTTCACTCATATGGAGACGCCACTACTTGCCGGTGGAGAGCTGCAAATTTTGTCCTATACTCGGCACTTACGGCCATTGAGCAGCGAGTGGTCTTTTTCGTGCCAGCACCTACTGAGACACGGGACCTCGGTTTATACGATCTCATCCGAAGGACCGGTCTCCACGTCCCACAGTGGGATTCGAACCCGCGACGTAAGGATCAACTCCTTAATCCGCGACTCTAGAGCAGACGCTCTAACCCCTGCGCCACGCGAGCGTCTTGGAAGAAAGTAGCCTCAAAAGTTAACGCAGTGAACACTACAGACTGCATCAAATCGGGAAAAGAAATCAATAAGACTGCTTGAGTAGTGAGAGGAAAAACTATTGGCTCTTAAAGGGAGGGAACAGAGAAGGATTGAGAAAAAAAACATATCGGGGACAATCAAATGACTGATACACGAGTAAACAAAAATAGTCATTAGGGATGCATTAATTGGTGGTGTGTAGGGTTGGGATTGATGTTTTAGAGGCAGAACCTATCACGGAAACAGCACTAGCGTAATCAGGAAAGAGCAAAAATGATGTAAATGGTGGGTTAAGAAATTTGATGCACATCCTGACATCCCACTGAATGTTGGAGAGGGTTTCAACTAAGACATTATATATATCCTAATCACCTGCATATGGAGATTGTTTCCCGGTTGATTCGATACGCAAGAGCATACTCTACGTAGGAATTATTTTTAAAATCAGTCAACCTATTGATAAAGAAGTTAATAAAACAAGGAAATCAACAGTCTAGTTTTAAGTTAGTATTTTGCAAATTATATGGGCGATGTAATGACCTTGTCAAGAAAATACAAATGTACAATTTGTAAAGTGTGAAGTCGATTGATGACTGACTATTTCTCATACAAATCGTAAGATCATTATTTACACGCTGAATGTTTACGGATATTTCCAATTGCCTGGTAATGACGAGGAGTACACAACGGGTACGAACGTTCGACAGGGAATGCCTACTCATCCGTGGCACCTGATCCAACTTTTGATGTTTTTATATGTCTCGGTTTGATCTGATCCCAGTTTGTTTTATTTCATTGTACTTTTGAGCTTGATTACTTTTCCTTATTTCCATATTTCAAAACTGTTAGTCGCCCGCGTGGCGCAGTGGTAGAGCGTCTGCTATAAAGTCGCGGAGTAAGGAGTTTATCCTTACGTCGCGGGTTCGAATCCCACTTTGGGACGTGGAGACCGGTCCTTCAGATGAGACCGTATACACCGAGGTCCCGTGTCGCAGTAGGTGCTGGCACAAAAAAAATCCCTCACTACTCAATGGCCCTAGGTGCCGAGTATAGGACAAAATTTGAAGCTCTCCACCGGCAAGTGGTGGCGTCTCCGTATGAGTGAAAAATTCTCGAGAGGGACGTTAAACAACAAACAAAACTGTTAATTAGTGAATACCAACAAGCACGTTTATTTCCGAAAAAAAAAGGAAAAATGCAAGATAACTGAAGTATGAATTCTTTAATGGATACGGTAGGAAACACAATTGTTTTTTTTTTATTTTCAGTGGTGTATTTGGTCGACACTAAAAGGCAACTCATCAACAATATAAAATGATAATTTTTGTTTGATATTTCGTATTGAGGTAATACAGCATGCACTTTTTTAACATAGAGAGAAAACAAACTTTGTTTATCCACAATTTTATTACATTTCATGCTAAAAAAAAACCGAAGTAACAAAATAAGTTAACATTTTATGAAATAAATGTTTTCATGATTTTCATAACCTGATCCCAACTTTTAATTTTGAGGTTCGTGTTTGCTCTGCTCCATATTTGTATCCTTTCATGGGACTTTCGAAATTGAATACTGTTCGTTATCTTGATATTTCATTGATAAACAAAGTCACCTTTTTGTGTTTTTGTTTAGCTATAGGGTGAAACGACTTGCGGATGTAGTGCCGTCACAGACACGTACAAAGAGTTTATTAATTCTCGTCATGATGACCTCACGTTGAAACTACCTGTGACGGAAGAAGAGAAGTTGGTTGTGGAGAAAAGGAGATGAAAAAATCGAGGAAAATGGCGTCTTTAAATTGCAAATCGGCAAACTGCGAAAAAAGTTTTTGGTTGTGATATCAGAACATTGTTATCAGTGTTGTGCAAAAAAAAAAATATTTCTACATGCTCTCTTTGGGTGAAATAACGTCCATTTAAAGTGCAGCAAAAGCACATTTTACGCAACACAAGGATTTTTTTCAATAGAAATTCTAGTCCAAACATGCGCATCGTTACATGAATACTAATGGGGATTGCTTGGGTTCACTCCTGGTGTCATCAGCTAATTCAGGGTTAGACATTAACCTTAGTCCGTTAGTCGCAAATGCATTCTCATTCAGACTAATAAAATCTGTGGCCAAAATGACCGAACAGACCAATGAATATTCCTAATTGAAAAAAACAATAAATCATCGATGTCCGATTGTTGACAACTCTTCATAGAATGGTCACGGCCCCAGGAATACTCCAATGTGTTTTTAGCTTTCGTAATTTTGAGTCCATTCAGCCTAGTAAATGAGTTTTAACCGTCTATTTGGTGCTAGATCCATTATGACGTCAAAATCGATTAAATTTACTTTTCCCATACTTTACGGTTACAGAATTATGTAGAAAATAAGCGTTTTCATGGAATTCAATTTGAAATCATGTCAAAAGTTACCCAGATATCTATATTTAATTTAATAACAACAAATCGTTATGATAATCGTGATGACTTTGACTTTTCAATCGTCAACTTCCCTTACTCATGCAACAATAAACCCTTATACAGATTTTCCTTTACTTACCGATCATGAAAAGGCGCACGTGACCAGTCGGCAGGGGATGCACACTCCTTCGTGGCACATGATCCCACCTCTGTTTTTGGAGGACCGTGTTTGCTCCATCGTCGGAAACACACGGCCCATCTCGCGTACGCTTATTGCCCGTGGGCCAACTCATTGAAGTTTTGTCGTATTTTCTCGTTTTTATTAATTCAATTCCACCAATGAAATCATCGCTTGCGAAAGCAAAACTCCTAAGCTTTTGGAGAAACGTGCTAAATATGGCAACCATATATACTCCTTGCGGAAGGTTCGCTTATTTTGTAATAGCAGAATCGGCGGTAGAGGATATCGATGTTTGTCTTCCAATCAAAGCAAAGAATATTATATAGACGTTTTTGCATTGCTTTCGGTGAAAGTCAAGGGATTTGCTCTTAATCTGTGTGCAAACAAATTAAGTCGTGTAAAAAACTAGAAAGTATTCAGGCAGAACGACATTAAATCGTTTTAGCTTTAATGTCAATGCCGGGTCTGGCTGGCAAAGCAACAGCAACTAAAACGCCAACACGTCCAAGCGATCTTATAGTGTTGTCCAACACACCCTTACTCCAAAATCAAGATTAAACAAGAGGCCCAAGGGCCTTGAATCGCAATTCTGATAAACTGTACAACCTATCACTTCTATTTGAAGCCTCTAAGTATCCTGTATATTTAGATAAAGCCTTGTAATTCCAAAGATAGGTAATAATGACCTACATTTTAGATAAAACACTCTGAGAACCCAAGATAATTCTTAGCCAATTAGTACCTGAGAGTACGTCATGGTGACCTACTTATCAGTTGTCATCCACTGAGGACCTAACATGCATCAACTACGTTTGACGATTCTAAGCCAATTAATACTTAAAATATTTTTAAAATTAGAACCATTGATATAAAGCCATAAAATTTCAAAAGTACGTCATGTTGACCTACTTTTGAGTTGACGTACTCCAAGGACCCAAGATGCAAAAAACTGACAAGGTTTGATGATTCTAAGCCAATACATACCTAAAATATTTAATTATAACTGTAAAATTTCAAAAGAAGGTCACAGTGACCTACTTTCCAGTTGACATATTTTAAGGACCCAAGATGCATCAACTGACAAGGTTTGATGATTCTAAGTCAATTAGTACCTGAAAAAATATTTTATCAGATCACTGACTTACTTTCTGTTGACGTACTCCTAGCACCCAAGATGCATCAACAAAGTTTGATGACTGTAGGCAAATTAGTAAAGGAATATATTTAAATAAAGTCATTAAATTCCAAAAGTAGGCCAGAGTGACCTACATTTAAGTCGACATACACTGAGGACCCAAGATGCATCAACGGACAAAGTTTGATGATTCTATGCCAATTAGTACTTGATATATTTAAATAAAGCCATACAATTTTAAAAATAGTCACAGTGACCTACTTTTCTGTCGACTAACTCTGTGGACCCAAGATGCCTTAACTGACAAAGTTCGGTGATTCTAGGCCAATAAGTACCTAAAATATTTAAATAAAGCAATAAAATTTCAAACAGAGGTCACAATGACCTACTTTTAAGTCATTTTATTTCAAGGACCCAACATGCATCAACTGACAAAGTTTGATGATTCTAAGCCAATTATACCCGAAATATTTAATTATAGCCATTTAAATTGAAAAGTAGGTCACGATGACCTCCGTTCCAGTAGACATACTCCGAAGACCAAGATGCAGCAACTGACAAAGTTTAATGATTTTAAGTTTATTAGTACCCGAAATATTTAATTATAGCCATATAAATTGAAAAGTAGGTCACGCTGACCTACTCTTCAGTCGACTTACTCTGAAGACACAACATGCATCAACTGACAAAGTTTGATGATTCTAAGCCAAATAGTACCTATAATATTTAAATATAGCCATAAAATTTCAAAAGTAGGTCACAGTGACATACTTTTTAGTTGACGTTTTTCGAGGACTAAAGAGGCAGCAACTAACAAAGATTTATAACTATAAGCCTTAAAATGTCCAAAATATGCCTTTAAAACGCTTTGAAATCGAATGCCTGCAAAGTTCAAAAAGTTAGTCACTATGACCTTCTTTTTAAAAAATATGTTTTATGGCCCCCAGATGCACCATCTTACAAGATTTAATGATTTTAAACCTCTCAGTATTCAAATTAATGATTTTAAATGCTTTGAAAAAGATTAGGCAAAAAATTCAAAATGTAGGTCAAGGTGACCTACTTTTTAGTTGACGTACTCCAAGGATCAAAGATGTATCAACTGACAAATTTTGATGATTATAGGTCTTAAATTGTTAAAAATACGCCTCTCAATCATTTTGAAAAAGAATGGTCGCAAAATTTAAAAGGAGGTCACCGTGACCTACTTTTGAGTTAACATGATATGAGGTCCTTAGATGCATCAACTAACAAGATTTGATGATCTTAGTCCTTATAGTAAAGCAAAATATCAACATTTTAATAAAATGTAAATTTTGGTCAACTTTGAAGTGACCTTGAGACGACACCCTTGCCTGAGGATGACGCCTTGAACAATTATTAATATTCAACATATCCTCAACCTTGTTTGTAAGTTTAATGATAATCTGCTCAGCGGCTCTTGAGAAGATTTTTTAGCAACCAGTACTTTCGTTTATATTTTCCTAATTATCTCTCCTTGTTTAATGGTCACAACCCTACCTAGTCTTAGAATAAATAGGAGCCCTTGGGCCAAGGATACCCTGTGACAAATTATTTAATAAATGGCATGGGGGCTCTTGAGTTAGGGCCCATATTCAAAAAAGTTTACACACACAGAACAAATGGCCATAGCAGTAGCTCTTCATATTTCTCATCGAGCCTTTGGCTCAGAAGAGCTAAAAAAGATTATTTCTTTCTCCAGGTGGCAGACACTTTCAGGTAATTATAAGCACAGAATCATATTCAATTTTATTAAAGGATTAAATATTCTTTTTGAAAATTTTATCGATGTGTAAACTTTTGACATTTTACTCACAAGCTTAATAAAAGTGCGAAGCCTTTTATGTTAAGTGTGCGAGTAAAATATCACGATTTTACACATCGAAAAATTTTCAAAAACAACTTTTAATCCTTATAATTTCAATTTGTGTATACATTTAAAAAAATTAATTTTATACCCCATGCGAGGCATCTTTCTTTTTTTAGCTGGAGTGTTCTGAACGCGTAGGAATTCATCATATGAAAAAATAGTTTCTAAGTGTTTGAACGTTAACAGAAATTTAATAATCAAACTGTAACAAAAAAAAATTAAGTGTAATTGTATAATTTATGCATTAAACAAGTAATTCAATAAAATGTGTGTTTTTTAAGTTTGATTAAAGTTTTATACTATGACCTATGACATTGTTTACAACTTTAGTTAAAGTAATAGTGGCAGTCTTTAAAGACAGAGCATGTTCTAAATCTTGACAAATTAATGGATTCCCTGCTTAATGGAGGCTTTGATTGTTGATCGACTGTGATTGAGTGGTCAGACTCGGAGGTAAGCATGTTTGTTTTTTTTTTCTCTGCTTGCAACATTACCAAGAACAGAGCTGATGACTTATTTCCGTTCTGTGCTCGGGCGACGGCAGTACGACTTCAGCGATTCCTCCCTCTTGTGATCAGACATAAACATTATATGCCTGTCGGGTAGACCAGCATTAAAGTTAAATTTAGAACTAAGCATCGCATTATCAGTTTTGAACTCCTTCTCTCTTACTATTTCAATGTCTCTTCCTATGTCTTTATTGCAGCTCGCATATTTTTCATTCAATTTTTGTGATATTCTTGTGCCTGTTCCTCACTACTTTTCGATCGATTTATGATATTTTTTGGTTGGGCCTCTGCGTCAAACTTCCTTAAGCTTTCATTAAGGGTCCTTGCATCATCAACCTCTAGGTCATGTGTTTCCTTAAGTCGCTCCAGACACCGAACTGGAAAATTATAATTTTAGATTCTTTTTATACACTGATACTTTAATTACAAGTACAATACACGATTTAAGTATTTTAATATTTTGTTATTCATGCATGTTTGTTTAAAAATATTACAACTACATTTTGATATTTTTTTTTTACTATTTTCACATTTTTGATATTTTTTATTTTAGATTTTCACATTTTTTTAAATTAACACTTTTATACTGGTTTTTATTAATTTTGTTTTATTTTCAAAATAACTTTACAGGGAAATTATTCATTCCTACCTATTTTTGGCATGATCTTGTTTTGATTGTTATTCAAAATGTCAAAACTGTGGGTAGATATGTGATATTGGAGCTGAATACCATTTCAGTGATTTTAAAGAAGTATCAAAGTAAGCATTACCATTAAAGACACCAATTCCCCATTTTGTGTTCCTTTTAGTGGCTTCTGAGTACTGGTTTCTCTCTATTTTTTGTAAATCTTTTTCTGAAAGGCATTTGAATCTAGATTTTTCTTCTTTTGGGGTCTCTTTAGATGAAACAGGATTTTGAATGGGTTCTGGTTCTGCCATTGTGACATTTGATTCACAGTGCTCTTCTGTCTGGTTCTGCTGCTGTAATGCCTCCAGGAGCATGCCATCAAAACCCTCAACATCTTCTTTTAGGACCGCTAGAAGTGTTAAAACCTCCAATTCATCATTTATTTCCAGTTGTATAGATAATTGTAAGTTTTCCAAAGGCCTTTCACAGGTTTCTTCACCATCTGAGGATTCCGTAAGTTAGTGCCAAAGCCTAGACCCCCTTGATGGGTATTCCAAGCAGACTTATATGTACAGATATATTAAATTTAATTTATCCATGATCAGAAAAGTTAAAACTTTTGAATTTAAAATTGATTTTATAAAAAAAAAAAAACTTTTAAAAAATTCCTCAACAATTAATTTTCCCCAACAAATTACTACATATTGTCGGCCATATTGTTTACATTAGATATGGGTAAAAAAAAAAGTAGTTCCGTCTTACGATTATTTTTATCTAAGTGTAAAAATCTGTGCCTGTGGTTTATAAACCAATAAGAAGGCTTGACTGTTGAATATGCTAATGTGATTGGAATTTTATAAACTTTTAACAACTAAAAAACATTTCCTCTTTATAGAATTAAACCTGGATATTAAATTTACTGGGTATCTTGTACCTACCCAATCGTTGCAAACCACGGTCAAAATGTACGATCCTCTCCCATTCTGGCCGTGTTTAAATGAGAAGAGAGTACTTCGTAGCTCATTAAAATATTGACCAATGCGAGTAAAGCATAGTCGGGTAATGAACTTTGACGCGATCTTTCAATACCCAATCGCAGTATATGAAACGTTTCAAGTAAACTGCTGATGTCAATTGTTGATTCCTTTTGCGATAAAAACAAATATTGTCATTGGCTGAACATGACATCACAAAATAGAGGCGTAAATATTCAAGATGACACTTTTTGTGATCAAAAAGCAGCCAAGGGTAGGAAAGAGCTATGTGAGGACTCCGGACCGATAATACGATGCTTGTACTCAGACATTTATTGTCAGATTTGCCAGATAAGATTAATTTAGGTATAATTTTTCCTGATGAAGTTACTTGTTGAAAGTTTTACCAGGTCTCTCTGGTACAGTTTTTACACTAGTTTCCGTGCTTCGTAGAGTAAGCCCATTTTACGTCTCGTCAGTGCTTCGTTTACGAAAATTTTAAAACCTTTACTTTGATTTTCATTGACCGTTTACGGTACCTCAGTCGGTAGAGCGCTCGCTTCGTGATCGGGAGGTCGTGAGTTCGAATCTCGGCCGCGACTGACCCTAAGTCGATAAAAAATGGGTAGCAACTGTTCCTTCGCCATGCGCTCGGCACTTTGAAGTGAAAGTTGCGGGTCCTTCGGATGAGACCTTAAAAACCGAAGCCCCGTGTCACGGCAGGCGTTGGCACGATAAAGATCCCTCACTGCTCAATGGCCCTGAGTGCTGAGTAAAGGTCAAAATTTGAAGTCCTTCACCGGTATATAGTGACGTCTCTATATGAATGAAAAATTCTCGAATGGGACGTAAAACAACATACAATCAATCAATCAATCGATTTTATTGAATGTTTTTAAGTACCACTTGTGTGAGAACACTACGTTTTTGTCTCTATAGCTTGTAAACTTGGCGATTACATCTCTGGGATCCTGGTTCCCCCCTTTTTTTTTGCTTCGCCGTAATCCTGACCCCTGCCTTTTCCCACTCTATTTGTTCTACATATTTCAGTGACTGATATTATATAAGTTTTGGTGTTAAAATGTAATTGTTTATGGCATTCAAGACAATGCTATCTGTACTCTCATTCTGGGTTTCAGGTATCCCACAAAACTTCAGACGTCCTCCTAGAGTACTGTTCTGCCTCGTCCATTCGATCTTCAAGACTGGCAACCTTTTGCTCTAACTCAGCAATTTTGTTAAACAGACAGTCAGAAATCTGAGATTTGAATGCCTCATTGTTGAGAATTATGCTAACTGCATGTTTAACACCCTCTTTGTCTTTAGATACAGTGTCAATCATATCACTCAAACTTTCATTTTTTTCTCTAAGGTCTTGATTAGAGCATGTTGAATTATTTGAATCCATTCTAGGTCTTTTTTTCTCACTTTGATTTTTATTCCGATTTTTATTTCCTCCCATCATTTAAGTTTTAATACTAGCACGGACTAGAACACTTGACCTAGTAACAAAGGTGTTGAAAATCAACTGTTCATTCGTGGTGACGTGTTGTAAGTTAAATGTTTCTAAGTAGACCTTCATCCAACATTATACTACTAATTTCACATCCAAAAACGTACAATCACCTTTCCACTTTATTATAGGCATCTTGTAGCAACACAAATTTCTCACATATTTGGGAGTGCAAAGAAAAAAATACCCCAACAACAACACGTCTTACATGTCCTCGACCTAGACCTTTTTTTATTAATAGTATATTATATATTTTGAAATATTGCCCGCCTACCTACCCTAAATTTCCTAGCCTGAAAGTGAAAAGTTGATTTCATACCTTGAAATTCACGTTAATTACTGTATGTATGAAAATTGGAATAAAGTAATTATGTAGGTAATTGAACCTGTGAAACTTTAAGGGCAATATTCTATTTAAGATTTCTATGAAAGGTTATTGTGAAAAAACATAACATAATTAAAGATGCAGTATTTAGCAAATGAATTTGCCGAACTTTTCAGTATACATCTACACTTGCTACTGAAGGTCACCCACCTCCAAGTTTAATTTCTCTGGCTAGTCGAATTAAAATTATACAATTTAACAATATAATTTAACGAGCGTTTACATTCGTGATGAAAATAATACGATCCCTAAGGCAACAATTCAGTTAGTATAAAACAGGACACTGCAAAGCGATCTTCAGCAATGAATGAAATACAGTTGATGATCATTCGCCAAAAGGAAATAAGCCAGGGAAAGGAGGGGGAGGAGACAAATTGATCACCACAGTCAGTCGGTCTTCAAAAACTTTTTTCCTGACAGTCTTTCAATATTAAAAGACGCCTATTTTGCACTTGGTCTTTGGTAATCGAACATTTTTATGATGCATTTATTCAAACAGAGGCAAAAATAACAAGCCTCTGGTTAATGTAGTTTAGATTTGTTCGTGTGTACTCATTTCATACAATGTTAAAAGTTAATTTAATTGATTTTTCACAATAATCAGGACTTTTAAATTTTTTTCTTCTCTCGACCGAGTTGCTAAAAACTACACGATAAACTTTTTTTAATCTCAAGGAAACATTTTTTTATTCAATCTGGAATTTTGTAATCCCGTCAACAAGTTTTTTTTTAATTTTATTAATTCCTTCAAAATTAATAAATTTACATATAAACAACAGTTAATTATCAATTTGTAAACTCCGCTACGAAAGCCATCTTTATACCGGAATAGATTTTTTGAGCAGCGACTATTCCATCAATGAAATATATTTTAGATATTTCATTTTACAATTTTTATACACAATACTACATGTATGTCTCTTTTTTGTTTGTTAAAATGGGAATGAACGTTGCAGAAAAAATATCAAGCATGTAACCCGCGTTATGTATTTTTATTATGCCCCCCTTCGAAGAAGGGAGGGCATATTGCTTTGCTGCTGTCTGTCAGTCCTTGGGTAGGTCGGTCAGTCTGTCCGTCCATCAACAGTTTCCGTTCATTTTGTTCTCAGAGGTTGCACATACTGAAATGAAATTAAACATACAGATTTATCATAAAAATATTCAGTTATGCACCTTGGATTTAGAAAAATTATTTGGGAGGGGGGGGGGGCTTAATTGTTTCACAAACATCTGTATATATATATATATATATATATATATATATATATATATATATATATATATATGTATATATATATATATTATTCTCAGAGCAATGTTTAAATTTCATTACCTATAGAAATTATTTTTCTGCTTATATATGATTACATGTAAAAAAATTTTAGTAAAAACCGTATCATAAAAATTTATAATGCTGGGGGGATAAAGACGATAACCTGATTCACAATCAGCAATTAAAGGCGAGATTTACGGCTTATTTATTTACCTTGCTCCAGTGTCCTTGTCTGACAATGCCCAGCGGTCATCCCTGACCAGTTAATAAAGTTATGTGAACATTCCACACACAAATATATATGACCAGAGGGAGGGGCTTGTAACAATGATAAAGTGGTTACAAACAGTAACTGTTCGGCTGTCTTTATAATCGTTTTTGTCTATGTCTACCACTTTCAATCATAAAAAGGTATTTTCACATAAACAGTACTGTTTTCGAAGAGAAAAAAATTCAAATAATAAAAATATAGAGTAACAGATGTCACAGTGAACCATAAATAGTACAGTTTATGGGAGAGTTATTTTTATTAGCGACCAATGTCCGTGTTAAACAGTACCCTGTGGCCATTCGTGTGACGTGGGTCAATCTTTTCCATTGATTGTAGGATTTTCAGTTAATTAGTCTATTATTCTCTTGTTTGTGTTGAGTATTAAGCCTTGTCGCTGTTAAGAATGGTTCATTTAGAAACAGAATTTGAGACGACAGGGACAGTTGGTAGATTGAAGGGGAGGGGGGATTGATGGTAAATACTTAAATTGAGAATACTGAAAACACTAACATGTAAGAGGTTCCTGGATAGATGTGACGTTAGCCCTTAACTTATTTAAGTTAACGATTTTATTGTCAGCAGGTGTGTAGAATAACGATCGTATATTTTTTTAGCTTCTTTAGCTGGAAATTGTGATTTGCATTTTGTTACAATTTTTCTATAGTATTATTATCATTAGGAAGCTTATGATATAATTTTAATGAAATGTACACGCTGTACTTATTACGAATACCAGGGGTTCGATATGTGAGATGTTTTTCTTGATTATTTTTAATTGGCGTTTAATCGGGGTCAGCGTACCTTTTTTTGAACTTTTGTTCATTTCTAATCCTGTGATAGTTAAATTTTCTATCACATCATTAGAGAAGGGACAATGCAAATCCAAGATACGGTAATTTGACGAGCTTCACCTGTATCTTGTTCCTATTGTCCCTCTTATCCGTCAATATAATAACGGAATATATGTAACACTAAAGAAATTTTCCTGCTTGGAGGAAACAGCAGTAGAGACTAAATGGGTCTCCTTTTCTTATCATAGCCGTGAATCCCAATGAAGTGTGAATATAAAGTTTAATTTTATTAACCTGTTTAAACCTTCTCTTTATTTGCAAGTATTACAAATAGAAAATGACACATTTGTCATATTTATAGAATGAGGTAAAAATAAATAATTGAACAATATCCTCCTTTCATTCTATGCAGAAAGAATTATATCCACCAATATTAAGATCGGGTCTTGAAATAATTTAAATAGTAATGAAAGTAATTCAGTGTGTAGCGTAAGTTTTGTCCCAAGGAAATTTTCTGTTTTGTCAACGTCTCCAAAATCTCTGATATTATTAATCTTGATGAAAGCAAAACAAAAACAATTATAATACCTTTAAATTTGTTTCTCATTTCTTCTTTTATCCCCGACAATGGTAATATGAAGCAAACGACTTTAAGAAATTACAGCAACCAAGGGTAAAAATACCTTCTATTTACATTAGTGGATAAATAGATATGAAGTGGTATTGGGTGTTTTTATTTTAAAAATTTATAATAAAATTTAATAATCATGAGAAT